CACTTTAACTACGAACAATCACGCTTAAGCTACATAATCTTTACTCCCTGGAATGGAGATAAGAAACTCCCTAACCTTTGGAATAGAGATTGATAGGATTAAAATCAACTGGTATAAATACAGATGTAACAATACAATAAGACACAGAACTTGGCTGGAGATCCTGGCTAGAGAACCTGGCTAGGCTGCTGATCAACTGAACCCTGTCTCCGTGTCGTTCCTTCTTTGTCGACTCCATCCACACCTTTGGGAACCCCTGGACCTGTTAGTGTTGGACCCCAACATTCCAGACAGGGCTTGGGGGGCACATTTTCCCTGCAACCGCTTCACTCCCATGGCGCAGTTCATGTTCGAGAGTGACCTGCACTCTCTGCTGCAGCTGGACACCCCCATCGCCAATGTGCCCCTCTCACGCTGGCTGCGCAAAGCTAAGGAACCCTCGGGGCCGCCCCCTCACCCATGCAGGCAGCCAATCGGTCCCACGCCCCCGGCAGGACCCTGGGCCGCACTCCGGGTCAGTGGGTGCGGCGGGGCACGGCTGACAGCGGCCTGCGGGTCCCCTCCCTCGGGAGGCAAGTGGGATTGTCTGCGTCCCTCTCCACCCTAGGCAAATCTGGCTCCAAGATTCAGACCATCCCCTGGCGGGGACGCTCTATCCCCCATCGCAGTGCGGCCCAGATGGAGGTGGCCAGCTTCCTCCTGAGTAAGGAGAACCGTTCGGAAAACAGCCAGACGCCCACCAAGAAGGAGCATCAGAAAGCCTGGGCTTTGAACCGGAACGGTTTTGACGTGGAGGAAGCCAGGATCCTTCGGCTCAGCGGGAAACCACAAAAAGTTCCAGAGGGTTACGAGAACAGACTGAAAGTCCTCTACAGCCAGAAGGCCATGCCTGGCTCCAGCAAGAGGACCTGCCATTACATCCCTTCCCTGCCGGACCAGATCCTGGATGCCCCTGAAATCCGCAATGACTATTACCTGAACCGGGTGGATTGGAGCTCGGGGAATGTGCTGGCCGTGGCTCTGGACCACAGTGTGTACTTGTGGAGCACCAGCACTGGCGATGCCCTGCAGCTGCTGCAGATGGAGCAGCCTGGAAACTGTTTCTTCTGTGTCCTGGATCAAAGAGGGCAGCTACCTGGCTGTGGGCACCAGCAGCGCTGAGGTTCAGCTATGGGATGTGCAGAAGCGGCCTCGGAACATGACCAGTCATTCTGCCCGAGTGGGCTCCCTGTGTTGGAATAGCTACATACTGTCCAGTGGCTCACGCTCTGGTCACGTCCATCACCATGATGTTCGGGTAGCACCACACCATGTGGCCACACTGAGTGCTCACAGCCAGGAAGCGTGTGGGCTGCGCTGGACCCCAGGTGGACGACATTTGGCCAGTGGCGGCAATGGTAACTTGGTCAATGTGTGGCCTCGTGCTGCTTTAGAGGCGGGCTGGGTTCCCCCGCAGACATTCACCCGGCATCAAGGGGCTGCAGCTTGGTGTCCCTGGCAGTCCAATAGACTGGCAACTGGAGGGGACACCAGTGATGGGCACATTCGCATCTGGAGCGTCTGCTATGGGGCCTGTCTGAAGGCTGTGGCTGCCCACTCCCAGGTGTGCTCCACCCTC